ACTCCTCGTCTTCTTGCAACAGATCTCTATGGTCAAGTTCAACTTGTATACACTTAGGACTGTGTTTACGTGTTGACTCAAACGGGTCTAGAGTCCAACAAGGGCTGGCAATAGGTGAGCACGGAATTGGTACGGGGGTGGGGGGAACTCCCTATGATGGCCTATACGGGGAGGTTCCGCCAGAAAGGAGTATCTTTTTTAGGCTTCAGGTATATGAAAGGGTGGGCATTTCACTAGATGAAGTATATAAAAGGGCGAGTGCGCTTATTGCAGCCTTAGCAGCATCTTTGGCGGTTCTTAAAGAAAAAAGAACTAAGTTTAAGAATTTAAGGAAAAAGTAGAAGGACTTAATTTTTCAGAAATTAATATACACGGGAGAAATTTCATCCCCTTAAGTACAAACGCTTTTAAAAGTAGAGGTGGAACAGTGGGGAGAGAGGGTGGATGGTAAAGTAGGTTAAAAATGGAGAGATGAGATGGAGCACATTGTTTAAGAGGGTATATTAAAATACAAAAAAAACAGCAATCTGGAGGCATTTTTGAAGACTGAAAACGTTATCAAAACAAGAAAAACAGAGAAATCTTGTCCAATAAACCTCTCCGGCAAATGTGTGGACATGGTTGCTGACTGTTCAATAGTACTCTTCTCGACCCTTCGGCGTCAAGTTTTTTCAAGTTTCTTGCGACAGGAGGAGCAAATCGGCTATATAAAGTTAACTGAACACTAAGGTACTTTTTAGTCTCACTAATTTTTACAAAATCAGAGACATGTTTTAAACACTGTTTAAGTTCAAAAAAATTATTTTTATTGCAAGAATGAAATACTTTTCATACACGTGCACGTGAACGACACCTCGACCACAATCACTGCTAGCGTCGTCCCCAGGACATTCTTCTTAGAAAATGGCAGGGGCGGGAAAGCCCTAGGGACGAGTTTGAATCCTGACTTCGTGTAGAAAGTTCTTTTTTTCCCATTTATGATGCTCTTCAAACAATCATCAGAAAACTATCTTTTACAACACACGGATTAACCGGTATGTATAGTATTTTAAAGGTAAGAATTTATTAGGGCAAGATACACGGCTGTCAAAAAAACAGAAATAACAAAAACTATCTTCAGAAAACATAGCAAGATAAAATGTTAAATAGAGAAATTAGAATATCTCTGTACGTTAAGAAATTTTTTGGCATGAAGAAGAAAAAAAAACGATACTTACGTGATGGAACAAAACTTTGACTTATTTCGCTGGCTATCTGGAAATTTACGACATGTCTTCCTGCCACAGAAGTTATTTTGCAAGTATGATCCAGAGTGTGACCGGGGTATTGACAAGACCTCAGGCTCGATTTCCGCCGTCTCCCCGTCCGTTGGGGGCTCATTTTCCAGACCAGCGGCTTACAATCGAGCCAAACAAGACCTTGGTGCTCGCAAAAACCTGCCAAGAAGGTGTCTGTGCCTTGGGCAGATTGTCATTTCAGTTCCGAATACCCACCAAGCCTCGAATACGTACTCTCGCTAAAATGAGTTCATTTTCATTGTCTTTGCTACACTTGCTAAACTTAGACAAGTGACAGCTGGCTAAGTGCGACGTAATATCATCCATGCACTCTGTGACCAACACATTTTCCTCCACACCCTACTGGGACCTCACTCTGTCTACAATCTCGCGGAAGAACTGCTTGATGAAATAGCCGAAAAAGCCATTTTTCACCATTGATCTCTTCGGCGATTTCATTGACAAAACTATATTTGAAACCGGCACCTGTAGCATTATAATTCAATCAGATTGAAACCAAAACAAGATCATCGTTGGAATTCGGATGTTATACCCTAACAAAAACTAGAAAGATACTCCCTTTTGGGTTTATCCACTGAAAAAAGGAATTGTTTTTCCCGTTTCATTCTGCTGCCGATAAACGCTTTAAAGATCTTTGAATGAAACTGAAATTTACTGCTAATTTAAGATAGAAAAAGTGTTGGGCATTTTTTTTATCATAGTGCCATGTACAAAGATCTGCCTTCTCCTGATAAGCAAATATCATTATAAAGCTTTCGACGTTAACGCTATTTTTTAAGGCATTTCTTCATGGGATTGGATAGTTATCTTCCACTGAAAATCAGGGCAATCCGTGATAGACCGAAATTTGCCTTACGGGTTCTTACGCGGACAGCCTCTTAAACCCCTAAAAAGGTACGACGAGCACCCCCGTCACTTTTATAGGGGAGTATTCCCCCCAGGGGATTGTCCTGGATATTGTATGAGCGCAATTTGTCACCCGAAATTGTGAAGAAACTGCAAAATTATAGTTTTGAACGGGGCAAAAATAACAAATTCTGTTCGAGGCTGGACACAGTCATAGAACTGTTTTCCTCACACCTTATGTATAAAAGTATATTTAAAAGGCTGGTTTGCACGCCACCAGACTTGTCGCCGAAATGTACTTGTAAAGTAAACTTGACAAACTCAAAAAATCCGCCCTAATTATGTTATTTTGGCCTTCCTTTTAGACAGAGGAATGCAACGTGTAAATTGGCTGCAACCGAGGACTATCGTGTGTTGCATAAAATTATCTTTCGGGGCTGCCCAAATATCCATAGTCTCTCCAACGGAGTGGTTGCCTAATGGAGAGACTGACTATGAATTAACCTTATAAAATAAAGGTGCTGTAGGTGGGTTACTGGGTTTTTTTGTTTGGGAAGAATTTGTTTTCTAGGCCTAATGTACTGCGATCGAAGATGATTGCTATTCTTCAGTGTACATACAAGACTATTAACTTGATGTAAAATTTGTTTCACCCTTGGACTGTCAAATTATAATCACTCTCCTCGAAAGTCACATGAATGTGCCTTAAAATCAATTGATTAATGTTTATTGTTTGATTTAAATTATTTTCGCTGGCTAAATCTATATACTATGTAGACACAACCAATAGCACATTTTTTTAATGGAAGCTGTTGGGACGAAAACAGAGAATACAATTTATTGTTTAATTTTCAAATAAGAATCTCTTAGGTTTATTTTCCTATTGCTGCAGAATATTTTGGTCGTGCATTATTGAGCCGTTTTAAATAGCCTTAACGTCACTATCATTATCATAATTATCATCATCATTCAGTTGTCGTCTGCATCATCGTCGCTATCACCATTGTCGTTAACATTATTATCATCATTGTCGTCGGCATCATCATCGTCGTAATCATGATCATCATCATCATCATCGCAACAGGCGTCAGAGCGTTTCACTTCACGTTGCGATCTGTAAAAAAATTATAGTAATATTAATAACCGGCGCCTGCTACACAGGCTACCAATAAGGTATTCACGCCAGACTTTCGTTTGTCATTTTGAAAGCTAAGTGTTCAGCAAATTGTATTCCTTTTTCATCCTCTCTTTGCATTATGCGTCCCGGTGGAAAATCTCTTTTTCAGAGACCGGGATCCATTTGATCGGCGCCATGATAGGAAATCTCTGATTGCCCGATATAAACCTGTTCATCACATGCAAAGTACTTTACAAATCAGGAGCTACTGCCCCTAAAGCATGGCCAGAATAGACAAATACGGCTCGACGGATGACAACTGCTATATAAAGAATTTGTGCTAAAATAATCATCTCACATAAATAACTCAACTTTATATCCTTATCAACGACCGAGGAACAGGCAAGTGTTTTAAAGATAGGAAACTTCCATAGAACATGTTTTGACCTTGAAAATATTTTGAATGATTAATAAGACAATTCAGCCGGCCAGTTACGATACTAAAATTTACATTTAGCTCATAGGCTTAAGGAGTAAGATAAAAATAGTCATCTATGAGTAATGTATTATTCACTTTATTTGTTTTCAGTTCTACCAAAAAACCTCGTAACCTTCTAATCTTTTAGGATTTAAAGGGTTAAGCTGGTGCATAGAACATGTTTTGAATCTGAAAATATTTTGAATGATTAATAAGACAATTCAGCCGGCCAGTTACGATACTAAAATTTACATTTAGCTCATAGGCTTAAGGAGTAAGATAAAAATAGTCATCTTGAGGTTCAAGGATGAGTAAAGCATTATTCACTTTATCGGTTTTCAGTTCCACCAAAAAAAACCTCGTAACCTTCTAATCTTTTAGGATTTAAAGGGTTAAGCTGGTGCGGATTTTTTTAAATGTATCAAAACACAGGTAGCCCAAGCGCGAAATATGAGCATCGGCGAGCATCGGCATTGTTGTGTAACATTCAAAATATAAGGATTTGTATGGGAAAAAAAACCTATCGTTTCTGTAACCTACGAAAATGGAAGGAGACGGTCTCTTGCTCCCGTTGGTTTCCTATTGATGTCAACGGGAGCAAGAGACTGTCTCCCACCCCGAGTGTGGGTAATTTGAGTCTCAGGCCGTGTCGCTATCTTTCAACGGTAACGCGGAGTTCAAGCCGAGCCTCAGTCGATGGCTTCAGACGGGAAAGGTTGCAGAGATTTGCGACCTTTGATTCGCTCTCGGTGCAAAGGAGTCTTGAAGCAAGATAACGAATGGAAAGAAGAACTATTGTGTGTTACCTAGGTGGAATTTGGAGGCGATTGGAGCAGTTGGAGCGCATTTCCGGCCGTTTTCCTTCGGTGGATCAGTCGAGCCGCTTCGCTAGAGTGCCCAACCTTGGTAAACCTTTATATAGCGAGAAACCCGTTTACATAAAAACCGATGAAGCCGACATAAAACGGCCATAAATCGGCCCGTGGACCACACAGGAGAGATGTAACACACATTTTAAGTAAGGTAAGCTGTTTTTTATTGAAATCCTTTCATTTTCGTAGGTTACAGAAACGAAAGCGATGCTCGCCGATGCTCATATTTCGAGCTTGGGCTACCAACAATCAAAATTGATCTATCATGTGACAACATACACGTGCCAGTGATTTTACTAGCTCCTGCTGGGACACGTTACAGTCCGGCTCTCTTATACTAAACGATCAATTAAATCATAGAATAAAGAGAATATAGTACTCAACTTATCTTAATAGGAAAGCGTTAACGGATCATGATCAGTTGCTTTGTCATACTCTTCCTTAGAGTGAAGTAACAAAAGGCTTTGGAGTTTGTTGTAGAATGGCGCCTCCTTGTTCTCTGGAAAGAGATCGAAAGCTTTCACAACACAATCCACAGGAAGGCCAGGAGGATTTTTTAAGATAAAGTAGTCGACTTTGGATGTTGTTTTCCTCCTCGGGGTTGGTTCATATGAGGGAACTGTGACATCGGTAGAAACGAAATTACAGCAGTTGATGTCCACCCCAGCTATGACACAGAATTTGGAAGACTCGTGTAGTTTTGCTACGATTTGGCAAAATTCGCTGGCCTTCTTCTTGACAGCTCCTTCACCTCCACCCTTTCGGATGTTGTGGTAAGATATGAAAATCATATCACGGTTTGTACGTTTGTGTCGAAGATGAACAACACAAATACGATCCCTTAACACTTTCGCTGGCACTGATCCACCTCTCAGTTGGGGAGTTTCATCTTTAGGGAACATCTCTTCCAGAATATTATCTAGCTTCTTATTCACTGGGGATTGGGATACTATCTCGAATATGCCGTTCTTTTTAAAGAAAACCTGGGCTTCTTCCTTGTCTCCAGCGTGTACACTGTTGTACGTATCAAGACTTCTGATTTTATTTGGACCGATGATGCTGTTTTTGGTTTCTTGTAGTAGCATAACGTCTGGGTCGATGGAGCTAACGACACTGTCTATCATTAAACGTCGGGCATTTGCGTTTTTTAAACCGTTAATGTTCCAACTGAGCACGGTGAAGCTGAGACTTAAATCTTGAACGCCAGAAATAACTTCTTGCAAATCAAGTTCGTATTTCGACGCCATTCCGTTGCAGGGAATGAGCTGTATAAGATAAAAAACACTCTACGTTAAGGAATCTTTCAGCTTAGCATTCGGACAAGTGTTGTTCGGCTATTGGTTAGCGCCCCTCGCCAATGCCACCTGTCACAACATAGAGCGGTGACGATAGAATATCAATTTACATGTAGCGGTCTGTAAATTATGTTAATTTAATTCTTCCTTTTATCCCATGAAAAACATAAAATAATAAATGTAAACTTGCTCAAGCTGCGGTTGTAACGAACAAAAATAATCTTATGAGTATGATTATTTTTACTTAATCTGCAGGAGGTCCATACTCGGGTTACAGGATGACCTTTGTGCTACAATCCTGGTAAAAACGTGTAGTCTTTACATATGATGACTATGACACAGGGTCCAGAGGGGATGTGTTTGTCGTTAGAACATCAAAAGCCGTCGAAAACCTCTGAAAAAATGGGTTATTTTGATTGCGTTACAGTTTCGTTACACATTCTATAGACCGCAAACCAAGAGACTAAGGGCTCGCAAGATCGGCTTACAGTCGTGCCTCGGTCGCCCTTCGGGCGACAGCCTTCGGTCACCCTTCGGGCGACGTTCCGTGCGCCAGCGAGGATATGGCCTGCGGTTATTGATTTTCAGAATGGCGAACAACAAAGTCGATCTGGTCAGATAAGAAGCGAAGAAATCGTTTACAGTAGATTCATTAAGATCCCATTGGGCTAATTAATCGTGCTAAGCGACAGGTATAGACATTTTTCAAGCTAAGACTTTAAATAAGTAATTCATTTATTCACACGAAAGTCCTCTGGACCCTGTGACTATGATCTGTGCTTTTTTAAACACTTTTGAAAATCTTGCAAAGTGTATGGACTTCAACTTTTTTCAGGCGGTCAGGGCTAAGCAAGCCGCATTTCCAACTAAAACTCCCTGTGAGTTGTCGGTTACAAGCAAATTGCTTAGCAAGATACCGAGATACAAACAAGTGCAAAACCTCTGGGCTACATCGAGAACAACTGTTAATAGCTCTACTCAGTCACCAAACCTTAACAGTAATAGCAAGCTAATTCCCTCAAGTTGGTCTTTGTGAGGCTGCTGCAACGAGTTGCAAAAATGTCGAGACACTCCCACGAAAAAACGACCTTTCTTGCTTCAAATCGCTCCTGGTCACAGGTCTGTGAGATATGATACTGACCCCCGTCCTCCCTCCCATTCAAAGTTGTTCCTCCAAGTTTTGAGCGTGGTCTTGTATTGCTAGCAACTTTGATAAGGGGTGGAGGGGGGATCACAAGCACAAGATGATGAACAGGCCATTTATGCTAAAATACGGTACAGTGTCTCAAGCACTTTTGCAACTAGTTGTGGCTTTCCCGGTGAAGTTTAACTTGTATGCGAAATTCTCAAAGTTCCTATTTTTTATCCTTATCCAAAATTTAGACCACTAAAGTGGCATGTGTTGCATTAAATAGAAGGAAAATGTTAAAATGAAAAGCCAGTCTTCTTCAAATAGTCTCCTTTGCAGCCAGCTGGGAGACTATTTTTTAAGCAACAGTGGAAAGATGCATTAGACCGCTTTAGGGACGGGGGGCAGGCGTGTGAGGTACAAAAAATATTCGTGGAAGGGAAATTGTATGAAACAAGTTGTGAGAACATCGTTTCTTGGTCCCAGACCTCGTGTCTTCCTTTACCCGGGTG